TACTCCTCACTTACCAACTATCTCATTATCTGATCTTGAATTTATGATAACAGTCCTATTCAACTATACTGCACACTAACAGTGTACACCAGGCAGTAATGAATGCTGAAATATAAGGAGACAGTAATACTGGCTGTGATGGCTAAGTTTCTGTTGTCAGCTTCGCGGGGCCATGACTCAGTGGTGTGGCAATTTAGTAATGATGTAATCTGACAGTTATGTAGTGATACAGTCATCCTCCATTTTAAAATCTGTTACGGTCATCCCATAACCCTTATTTTTGCAACAATTTATGCTAATAAACGAGGAGTGAGTATATCCTACTCCTAGTCGCTGAGACTGAGACAAAAGGAGAGAATACAGAACTATCTCCCAATAAGTGAAAAATCAACAAGGGAGCAAAACAAGTAGGTTACTCCTTAAATTCCTTAAGGAAAAATTTGCCCCAAACTTTCCAGGTCTGCATATCACCAATACAAAAGGACTTTGCAGTTCCTTATGAGGCTATCATATATTTTTAAAAAGAAAGACAAACTTATCCTGCAGTGATACATTTAGCCTGACAAAAATTTAAATCTGGATATTGCTGAAAATGTTTTTACAGACTAATAATTTATAAACCTAAATACTGAGACACTCATTAATCTACATTTTATTACAAATGAAATTGATAGTACATTTTCACTTTTTGCTCCAAAATTAAGATGCCTGAATTATTACAATAGTTCTCCTACACTTTACATCATCCATATTTACACATTTTCACATCCTCTTTATCTTTTACAAAAAAGATAAAAGATTTAAAGCAGCCCAAATCAGGTTTATTCATATTTTCACAAGATCAAAGGAAATAGATATGAGGTGTTGGCCATACAGAAATACCAAAATAACTAAAAAAACTTAAATTATGTATAAAACTTCTAAGGGAATTTTTCTCATTTCCCTTTATCTAGTTCCTATTTGTGGTTAGCAACAAAGTTTTAGTGAACAAAGATATTCAAATTACTAAGTTCCTAAAGCAGGATGAACTCAGTTGTTAGAGTAGACACAGAAGAAAAATGTTTCTTTTTGAAAGGATAAAACACAGTTTTGTGAGAAACAAGATCTGGAGCATAAATATCTTTAGTGTTGTAGTAAATCCTCTCCTGATTTCCTTCATATAGAACAGAGCATAAAAATAGAAAGACATGATGATTTTCTGAAGTTTTGTTCTAACACTTAAAGTACAAATGAGCATTAAAAATTTAGTTATCCAAGTATTCATAATATGAGTGCATGGCACTGTAGGGTAAGCACTGGAATGCTAACCACAAGGTGAGCAGTTCAAATATAACAGCCACTCCTCGGATACCCGATATAGGGTCACTAGGAGTTGGAATCAACTTGACAGCACCTAACAACCACAACTGATACCAAATAGTGATTATAAGTAATGTTAATATTAACACAAGTATAATACAACAGGCAAAACGTTGGAAGGTGATGGGGCAAGGCAGAAATAAATTTGAAAGTTAAGTTGAATTGTTTTCAGGTCAATCACTGTATTTTAAACTATTCTTATAAATGTATGTGCAGTGGTGACTAGACAGGTATATTTCTATCTACTACCTACTATAGATTCAACCTAAGAAGTATTACTGGCAAAATAATGTCAGGAATACATACCCATTATTCCATACGTCAGCTGCAGCCCTGCAGTGGAATTTTTTTTCCCCAAATAAGGTTTAACATATTTTAATACTTCACCAAGGTATTCTAAGGATTTTGTGACCATGGCAGATTTATCAGAAAGTGTTTCCAGATTCTTGTAAGTTATACCAACAGCCTATAAATAAGGGGAAACATGATTTAGCTTTTGAAGCTTTACACAATACAGGCTTGGAAAAATAATTTCTCTTTCCATACATACCCACCCACCCATCGTCACGTACACACCCTTCTTTAAATTTAAGTCTTTGTTCTTTATTTTCCTCCAATAAAGGTTTACAACAAAATAAGCCTTGACTTTTATAATCAAAATGAAAACCAATTTGAACCATAATTATTTGTAGAGGTCTGATTCAGCAAAGTATTAGAACTGGTATATAAGAAGCTTATATCCAAATCAGATCAAAACTTCCCAACAGGTTGCCTCACCTTATTTCTAGATTAAGGTCAGGAATGAAAAATCCCCAAATGGCTACAGGTTAAGACCTACAAGTAGGCTACAAAACTTCAACAAGACCTTTTAGTTCAGTTCTGTAAGACAAATTGGCTTATTTCTCCAGAACTTTTTTTATGACTCTTCAGATGCTTCCTTAACTATTTCTTAGAAGTTAAAAAAAAAAAAAAAAAAAAAAGCATGGGGCAGAGGGGATAGACATGGTCAGATGGAGACATGATGGAGAACGGCAGCATGGGGGTGACTGAAGGGGAGAGGAACTGTGAAATGAGGCAGCGAGAGAAGAACAGTGAGTGAGAAAAACAGGAAGGGAAATAAAATGAGAACCTAAACTGAGAAAAGGTGAGGATAAGCTGAAAAAAAGAATCAAGAGGAAAATGGGTTAGAGGTCTAAGGAGAATAGGAAAGTTTCTAAATTATTTCTGTGCACTTGCAATAGATTTCAATGACCCATTTAGTATCAGGAGTGGCAACAATTTACGTGTTTTTCTTCAGTTCTCAACAGATAAGATAAAAGAGAGAAAAGTGGGAACTAGTACAGAGCAAAGCTGAGGGTTTGTAGGTGTGACCAAAAGACAAAAGAGCTAAGACTATGAGGGTGTTGTAAGAGTAGCTGAAATCAGGCCCTCAGAGAGGTTAAATTACAGATAGGGAAATAAGCAATGCTGTTAAAGGATGATGCACTTAGAAAACAAGAGTGGTTGGAAAGCAGAAGATAATAGTGAAGTTGTTCACAGAGAGCCAGACGGACAAATAAAGCTTTCAGATGCTCCAAATGATGGCATGGCCCAAGTCAGTCACAGGAGTGAATGGCTGCAGTGGGAAGAAGTGAAGATCACGGAGTACTAATTACTGCAGAGGTTTCAAAATCATGGTTTTAAAACAAGTGATTCATGGTGGTATTAGAGTTGGCCATGCTGATAGTAAAATGTGGAATGGATAAAAATATAAGGAATTAGTGCTCAGTGAACTTGAGTTCAGATAGGAACAAGTCAGATACTTGATGGATCCTTTTCTCCTCTCTTTTTAATTCTCTGACCTCAGTTCGCTACACTTCCTTCCTTATGCCAGAAGTTCTCAGATTTTTGGTCTCAATTTCCTTTTATACACTTAAAAACTGAAGATCTTAAAACAGAACTAATTGCCATTTGGAGTCCTGGTGTGGCGCTGTGGGATAATGTGCTGGCCTGCAAGGTCAGTTTGAGCCGCAAGGTTGGTGGTTCAAGCTCACCAGCCGCTCCTCGGAAACACTATACAAGGTATGAATGGGTTGGAACTGACTCAGGAGCATTTAATGACAACAGTTGCTATTTAGGTTATATTTAGTGATACTAGAAATTAAGAGAAAACATTTTTTCAAAGAAAAGATTTTATTATTTACTAATTCATTTAGAAGAGAATAAATAAATGCCAATATAAGTAACATATTTTAATAAAGACAACTTTAGTGAAAAGAATGATTTTGTTTCTGGTTTTTCTTTTTCAGCATTTTTGTAAACCTCTTTAATATCTAGTTGAAGAGAGAATGGCTAGATTCTCATATCTTTTTTCATATACAATCTGTTATGATATATTACAAATGAAGAAAATCCTGCCTTCCCAATATATGTACTTATGGGAAGAGAAAACATTTAAATACCTTTTTCAGGTAACTGAGAATTCTTTGATAAGCGGCATTTCTCAAAGGTTGGTTGCAATGAGGAATCTGAAGCCATGTCAATGAACATATCATAGTTAACATTAAATGTCACTGGTCTATTTTCACTTTAAATGGATCTTTTGTCCATGCATACATCAGTCATTTGGAAAATCTTGATGACATTATCCATATTCTTTTTTAAATAATAAGATGTGGAATGGATAAAAAACGGAGAGAATAAGTGCCATAGCTCTTAGGAGTTATCTTTAAATATTGGCAAACTTCTAAGCTCACAATAAATGACACAACTTTCCCAAATTCCAATTTTCTTACAAACTCAAATTATATTGTTTTTATTTAGTGCAGTCAAGTCATTTCTGACTCAAAGAGACCCAGTATAGGGTTTCTGTGGAGTGGCTGGTGGGTTTGAATCCCCTACCTTGCAGTTCAAATCGAACTTGCAATCTATTGCTTAACCTACAGCACCACACTAAGCCTCAAACTATATTGCTGTTGTATTAAGTGCCATCAAGTGGGTTTCGATTTATAGTGGCCTTGTATAGGGTTTTGCCCATGCACCTTTTCCCTTTCTTAATCAGCCGTTCAAACCCACCAACTGCTCCTTGGAAACACTACACAGCATCGCTGTGAGTCGGAACTGACTTGACGGAACTTAAGAACAACAGCAACAATTGTGCATTCTATTCTTTTGTTTTGACGAAGAGCAAAGACCACAGCCTTCAGTATGGCTTGTATCTCAATGTACAGAAAACAAAATCCTCACCACTGGACCAATGAACAACATTCACATAAATGGAGAAAAGACTGAAGTTGTCAAAGACTTCATTTTGCTCAGATCAACCATCAACACTCATGGAAGCAGAAGTCAAGAAATCAAACGATGCATTGCACTGGGCAAATATGCTGCACTACATCTCTCTAAAGAGTTCCAAGAGCAAAGATGTCAGTTTGAGGACTAAGGGGTGCCTGACCTAAGTCATAGTATTTTCAATAATCTCATATGCGTATGAGAGTTGGATAGTAAATAAGGAAGACCACAGAAGAATGGATGCATTTGAGTTATGGTTTTGGAGGAGAATATTAAAAGTGTCATGGGCTGCCAAAAGAACAAACAGATTTGTATTGAAAGAAGTGCAGCTAGAGTGCTCCTTGGAGTCTAGGAGTGATTCGTAATGACTACGCTACTAGAGCTCCTTTTGTATGACTATACAGAAAATATAATCCTCATCATGAGTCAAAGAATCTGTGGACCCTTGATAAAGTTTCAAACTAAAGTTTAAAATTTAGTTCCTAATACCTGAAGAATGTTGTTATCCAGCAATTTTAGCATTAAAATGTTTCTATAATTTGTATGAGCCTCACAATAAGGCACTTATATATTCACCTATTTCTGTTGTTTTTGTTGTTAGGTGCCACTGAGTGGGTTCCCATTCTTGGCAAGCCTGCAAACCTTCACAGGAGCAGAAAGCCTCATGTTTCCCCATAGAGTGGCTAGCAGACTTGAACAGCCAACCTTGTGGTTAGCAATCCATTGCCTAACATCTAATACAATCAGTACTCCTTCACCTACTTCTATCCTACCCTATATCTTGATGTTTCTATCTCTACTAGTTAAACACAATGTTTGTTTCATATCCATTCATGAATCCCATAACCATACAATATTCAGTTCTTTCTAGATCTCACTAGCTTCTGGCTAACATTTCTCCCCAAGCTTTAGTCTACTCTACTGCTCCTAATTTTCTTAAAGTCATTTAGTCAAATCAGACCTACTTATAAACTTAGAAAGCCTTCAAACTGTTCATAAGATGAAATACAAATTTTGTATACTAACATGCTCTGAATTCTTCACCTACTGATCTATCATCTATTAACTAGCTGGCATATACGGCCTTATAGAATTATTGTTAAAGCCATGGTGGCACAGTGGGTAAAGCATCCAGCTACAAAAAAAAGGCAAGAGACCAACATTCAAATCAATCAGCTGCTCCACAGGAAAAAGATGTAGTAGGCTGCTTCTGTAGGGATTTACAACCATGGAAACCCTAGCGTACCACTCTCCTCTATCATCTAGAATCACTGAGTCCGAATTGACTCCAATTATTTTGGATTTATTATTATTCTAGCTTTTGTGTATGTGTCCATATTCTCAAGGAAGTCAAAGTTCTCTGAGGTCAAGGACTATTTCTTTTAGCTCTTTACATTTCTAAGAAATACTACTCTAAATACTGATACTAGTATTTAAAAAAACAATGATAATTTATTGTATGATGAAAAAGCAATAACTTGGACTGAATCAAATTAAGGGATGCTCTGAAAAGTATCAGTGGACATCTACCTCCTGTTCTGGTCTGAATTGGTTCCTAGCATACTGTTGTTGTTGTGAAGTGCCTTCGAGTCAGTTCTGACTCATAGCAACCCTGGATACGGTTTCCAAGGAGCAGCTGGTGACCTTGAACTACCGACCTTGCAGTTCAAATGGCTTTGCAGTCTGGCACATTAACCCACAGCACCACACCAGGACTCCTCCTAGCATAGGTGTTTAATTAATTACAGATTGAAAATCAATCAACAACTGTTACCAAATATTTTTATGATTTATATGCCATTTCTAATTAAACTTAATGGAAACATAAGGAAAAATTCACACTTATGTAAAAAGCTTATTGGTTATAATTTTTGTTACAGTTAACACCAACTGCTCTGTAGAAAAATAAACCAACTTTTACTCTTAATAGTTTACGAAAGACAGTAATCCAAACAGATTAACAACCTCAACTATGCTGTAAAACAAAGATTACCATACAAGATACACTCCTATATACTTAATAATTAAAAAAGAATATTTTAATGGGGCTGTTTACTATATAGAATGGAATAAACTTTAAAGCATTTATCATACTATCATATGAAGTTGGCATTTATGGTGACTACACCAAAATTTTACTAAACTGTTGTTTGCTACAGGGTGATTAACATTATTAAGCTGCAACTATTCAGGACAGTAGACAAAAGAAATTTAGTTCCTAAAGTACCTGAAGAACATAGTTACCCAGCAATTTCAGAATAAGACATTCCTACAATTTAGATCAATCTCACAGTAAGGCTCTAATGCAGAATTAAAAACATATTTCCATTAAATGCAATTGTGTTATTCTTAAGAGTGAATTGTAGTGTAGCTTAGAATCACATTTTTCCTGCTCTAGAATTTTATAGTGCAAGGCAACTAGTAATAGGATTCAATTTAAAATAATTCATTTTATAGAAAAACTTTCCAAGAACACTTTACAATTTTTTGAAAAATAACTGTAACTGATCTAGACATTTATGCTAATAAATGAAAAATACCTCAAGGAATTGAACAAGTGCTTTTTTAGGATCTTCTGAGATGGTTAAATATTCAACTTTTGCCTTCGAGAAAATACTCCTTACTTCTGGCAGTTTAAACAGCAACCTTGTCAATTCAGCCAACTGCTCCATGTAGTCTTTCTCTGTTAATACAAAAAACTTAACAAAGTTTAATTTAATTTAAAAAGAGAGAGAGAGAGATAAGAAAACAGGATGTTACATTTAGGATATGCATTCCTTGAAAACTCAAATTTCCTTAAAATTCTTTCACTAAACATATATATAAAATCAACTGATATAATAAGTCATATCAAAGAGAATTTAGAGCATTTTTCAGTACCATTTTTGTGCAATTTACAAAATGGTCATAAACAATAGCTGGAGGAAAAGGCATAGCCTACACACAACTAGTGGCATAGTCGGTTATGAATTGGGTTGCTAACCTCAAGGTCAGCAGTTCTAATCCACTAGCTGCTTCTCGGGATAAAGATGAGGCTTTCTGTTCCTGCAAAGATTTACAGATTCGGATCTTGGTTTCCCTTGCCTACTATTGTAAAATAGACACTTGAGGGGAAGAGAAAGAAATAGCCAGAAACATCACCATAGAAAGCTTGTAAATCTGTCTTCAGCCTATAACTGATTGGAATTCCTAAAATGGAGCTAGAACTTGCCCAGTGAAGGAGGCTTCCTGCGGAGCCTTTGCACTGCTTAAGCCCATAGGTGGAATCCTGATTCCCATCAAGAATCTTCTGAGGTGGGAAATTTCCACTTGAAAGGACAAGCAGGGCAGCCTGGAGTGGTTAGAAAAACAGAAGATACTTCTTGAAAGAAAGACCAGCAGGAAAAATAAAAAACAATAACAGCAGTCCGACTGACTACTATAAGAACAAGCAAGTTGTCTGCTGGGGAACCATCAAGGCAAGTGGTTGGGTCCCCTCAAGGCAAACCCCCTTCCAAGACTGAGACTCAAGAGGAATACATGACCAGGCATGTGGTCTTGCTGGTGACCACGTTGGTCTATCGATAAGGGGAAGTGGGGGAAAAACATCAATGAACCTGTGAGCTAAGTTCGACCACGCTCAATTGACTCCTGTCAACCTGGATTGAGGCCTGGTTGGCCGGCAGTATGGCAAGACCTAGGGATTCCTGGGCCCAGAGACAGGGATATAGCCACAGAGGACTAGAGTGGAGAGTGAAGCGTCCAGCTGATATGAAGTGAGGGGAGATGCACAAGAACACTCACACTTGCAGACAGTACCCACTTGACCTGGTTTCAATGGCTGACTGATCAGAACTGGACTAGAGGAAGAAAGACAAGGAAAAGAGCATTATCTGCTACAATCTGATGAACTTGACCTATACTTATGGATGTAAAAGCTCAAAAGAGGGAACGAATCTTTACAGCAAGGATCATTCCCACACCCTTGGTACACAGGGTTGACAGGGATAGGCAACTTAGACATTGGCTATCCAAAATGGGGCTGGGGGTGGGTGGGTGAATACAAAGGCACAAAGTGACTGGCTTACAAGCTTTCAAGAAGGAGCCTAGTTTCAGAGGGTGCAGGGGAAGGTAAAATCTCAACTGAGTGGTTTCCAACCTGTCTGGACGGGGCTGGTCAAGGGAGATGGGGATAAGAATCTTGTGGTAAAATAGTGAATAATTGCTATCAGGACTGATTGTGAGTGTTGCAAATGTAGAGGTAGAAGTTTTGTAACAAAAGAGGGGGAGTGGCTGATCTTGCAGTCTAGGAGTGGAGGACCCTGGGACCATCAAGGGAGCAGCGTGGAGTGTGGGACCCTATCCAGAAAAGCAGTGACACCAGAGATGGAGGCAGACAGGATGATGTGGAGAGACCGAGCAGCTGGGGACTCTGGACTCAGGGAAGAAGAGGGTCTGTGTGCTGATGCTGGGGGTGCAGGCTTGCAGGATGTATCCTTTGGTTGTTTGAATGGGTATATATTCCAGAGTGCTTCAGTGTACTTCCAAAACAAAACAGAGGGAATGGAAGCAAATGTTGTTAAATGATGATGTATGGAGGGGATTGCAATCATTGCAATAAAACGAAATATGATAGGATGAATGGTAAAGCTGATGTTCTCCCATGTAAACTATCACTATAAAAACAAACAAACAAACAAAAAGCTTTATAGATTCGGAAACCTATATGAGTCAGAACTGATTTGATAGTACACAACCACCACCACCAACAACAACCAGAATGTATGAGAAATAATGAAAACACATCAAGTACAAGTATCACTCAATGAATAATAGTAAAGCAGAAAAAAAGCAAAATTCATAATTGTACTATTTTTTCTTTTTTGAGTGATTGCAGTATGATATCTGGTTATTTACTTCAGAGTTCTACTTATTTTGTGTGATCAGTTTCTTCAGGGAAAATAATAGCTTGTCACCTGAGGAGCAAGTTTTTGTTCCTGGCTTCCAAGGAAACAAGCTCTTTTATCTTTATAGGAGAGAAACTTATCACGTAGATAAGAGGAAAACAACAAGAAAAGGAAACAGGTTACAAAAGGAAATAAATTTCTGCTTATATTCATACCTAATTACAAATTTACTTCATATATTTCCTATTAAGTTATGTATGAAAAGGGTAAATTGTAAGCACACTTAGCCACAATGAAAGCAAAATCTTCACACATATCCCAAAACAACCAAAAATCAAACCCCAAAACAAAATCCAGGAACACTTACCAACTGCCTGTTCAGGATTCATATCAATGAACACATCATCAGGAACAGAGAAGTTTTTTATATACATTTGCAAAACACAACGGATCCATGATCTTACAGTCAGAGCTTGAAAAGCCACACAGTCTGAATGAGAAAGTGCTTCACATAACGTGCTGTAAAAATAAATGGATGGTTTTGAGAAAGATACAAAAACACGTTCCCCGAGTACAGAGATTAAAAAGTAAAGAAAAACATTCCAACATCCCCCACTTGTTGGATTCACTTATTTTTCAGACAAACACACTTCATGTAGACAAGCATTGCTGAAAATGAACACTACAGATACACAAAAAAAATTTTTCAGATAAATAATTCTTTCCATTTGCAGTTTTCTAATTTTTAAGATTCATTTCTACTTGTAGCATATGTGTATATATATATATATGCTTATGTCAAGGGACAAGTAAATAAACTAGCTAAGTGAGAGATTATTGAAAGAAGTGGCAAGTAGAGTAACTCAACAGTGGCATTTAGATTAAGTAAAGAGACAAGATCTTGAACACATAGGTAAGAGAAATAATTAAAGACAAAAATACATTTCTGTGTGGTTTTCCTGATCAATTTTATTCCTATTCTTTCCCTTTCCTGCTACACTACCCCAATCATTATTAAAAATATCGCACAAAGAATTCCAAAATACCTGCTAGAAATGACACAAACCCACTGCTGACTCACAGTGACCCGATAGAGCAAAACAGAACTGCTCCACAGGGTTTCTAAGGCTGTATGTTTTTATGGAAGCAGATTGCCTCATCTTACTCTGTGGAGCAGCTGGTGGGTTCAAATCACTGATTGGTTAACAGCCCAATACTTAACCCACTGTACCACCAGGACTCTAGAAACCACTTATATATAAAGCAATTCTAAAACTGTTATTTTGAATAGGTTGCTGTTGTTTTGGGTGCTGCTGAATTGATTTTTGACTCATAGTGATTCCATGTGACAATAGAACTGCCCCTAAGGGCAATCCTTATGGGAGCCCATCACAAGGACTTTCTCCCATGAAGCTGCCAGCTGGGTTTGAACTCCTGGCCTTTTGGTTAGCAGCCAAGTGCTTAACTACTGTATCACCAGGACTCATTTGAATGTAAGTTGTCATAAAAGACTGCACAATATAGAAGAGCTCAGATTGACTATTTATGACTTGCATAAACTTAGCAAAGCTACTTATTAACACCACTGCATTTCACTTTCTTCAACTATTACTAATAGGCCAATTTATTTCAAAAATGAAAATGCTTTCAAAACAGTTCAAAACGAGTGTTTAATAAATGTTATTATTATAGGATTATCAAGCAGGAAGAAATCTTTATAAAGTAATTTAATTGAAAGCTAATTCCCTTACTTTACAAATGAAAACTCAATGAGAAAACCGGTACTTAATGATTCTGCTTAATAAGTCTTCTCATAAGAAGAATTACCTCACCAACTAGATCGCTTTCATTTTTATTGGTAGGCAGCTCAGAAAAGAACTATGTTGGCCTCTTAGGTTTGTATACTTACTTTATTTTCACTGACTACGATGTTCTTATTCAGCTCTTCATGGTTACTCCACAGTTTCTATTTTTATTTACTATAGATTTTTTCTATTGAGATTATCCAGATTTGTTTTAACTTTGCAAGAAACACTTACAGATGAGGAAACCAATGTTCAGGGCAGTAAACAGCCATGTTTATGATCAAACACATTAAGAGCTAAAATCTAGCTGTCAAAGGATATTAAACAACAAAACCAAACTTATTGCTATTGAGTTTATTCTAACTCCTCATAGCAATCCTACAGGACAGAGGCCCTGTTGTTTCTGTTGCTGCCGTGAAGTGCTGTTTAGTCATTTCCAAGTCATAGTTACCCCGTATAGGATTTCTAAGGAGCAGCTGACGGGTTTGAACTGCTGACCTTGTGGTTCTCAGTCCAGTGCTGATCCTGTAGCGCCACATAGAGGACGTAGGGTTTCTAATTTTGTAAATCTTTACGGAAGCAGCCAGCCGTATCTTTCTCCTGCAGAATGGCTGGTGGGTTTGGACTGTAGAGTTTGCAGTCAGCTATCTAACACTTAACTCACTGTGCCACAAGGGCTCACTGTCAAAGGAAATAGTTAACATTCGATCTAAAACGACAACAATATTAGTGTCTTAGAGATATAGCACTATTAGTTGTATAATTTCTTTCACAACACTGACTGTAGAAAAGTCATTTTTTTAGATGAATAAAGAGGACAGAACTACAAAAAAAGTTTAGAAAAAGGACTTAACCAGCATCATTAAAAAAGAATTTTTTAAACAATAAAATAAAATAAGCTAGGCTCCCTAACTCCTACCCATGTCAAAATGCTAATGCATTCCCAAACCAAAAAAACCCTGCCATAGTAAAGTTCACTTTTTAAGTTTTCATTTGTGAAAATTTTTACTTTCCTACAGTACTGATGTATCATGGGCTTGCCTTGATGTTAGGTGCTGTTGAGATGGTACTGATTCATAGCGATCCTATGTGCAACACAACGACACACTGCCCAGTCCTGCACTATCCTCACAACTGTTGCTATGTTTGTGCCCATTCTTGCAACCAGTGTGTCAATCCATCGAATTAGGGTCTTCCTCTTATTTGCTGACTCTCTACCAAGCATGATGTCCTTCTCTAGGGAATGGTCCCTCCTGGTAACACATCCACCCTGTGACGTGATGTTTTGCTATCCTCGCTTAGAAGGAGCAATCCAGCTATACTTCTTCCAAGATAGATACGTTTGCTCTTCTGGCAGTCTGTGACATTAACATGAATGCCTCAAATAAAAGCACTTACCTATTTTGTAGGACATGACTTAAATATCTTGCTACAACTTGGGGCCTGATGATATCATCCCAACCAAAAAGTCTAATTATTGATATAACTGGCTGAGGTTGAAGATCTGAAGGCGCTGTGCTGGGCAGATCCATTGCTAACAAAGTAAAGTCTGGATGAAAAATGACAGAAACTTAGAATAAGACTTTTTTTTTTTTTCACTTTTGCCACTAAAAATGGTGTCATATGAAAAAAAGAAACATCAGCTCTAAATAATAAAATGTTACATTTAGAAAAGTAAAACCAAACAAATCTCTAAAACTGAACTAAATTAATCTTGTCAAAGAAATTTCTCCAGTATCATCAATTCTCCAAGAAAAGGTCAAGAATGATCTATCTTCACATTGTCATTATGGATCTATATGACTCTAATAAAGCTGTAAATTTGAAGCCTAATGTTTTTGCTAATGTGACTCCCTTATCCAAAAGATCATGTAAAACATTTTCTAATATTTACTCTTTTTCAATTAAGCTAATCTGTCCTTGTTACTTGGCCCATACGCTCACTTTCACCTTAGGCATTGGACACTTCTCTTTGATTAAACAGTGATCCCCTACAATCAATGGCATTCCACTTCTTTTAGAAAGAACCCTCTAAGTCCAGGAAATGGTATTGTTAAGGGTCGTCGAGTTGGTCCCAACTTATAGTGACCCTGTATAAGATTCCCGAGGAGCGGCTAGTGGGTTTGTACCACTGACCTTTCAGCCAGTAGTCCAGTGCTTACCCTACAGTGCCACACCTTTCTTTAATTAACCTTGTTAAAGCAAACGGATTTGATTTGCCAGGAAGGTCACCAACTTAAAGCATACTATATTAATATTGGAGTTCTGGTACTGTAGGACGAGTAATGAACTGCAAGGTCAGTGGTTCAAGCCCATCAGCCGCTTCTCAGAAACCCTATACAGGGTTGCTATGATTTGGAACCAACTTGACAGCATTTTACACAATCATTTTTTACCCCAATATCTTAACCTTCCTAGTCCTTGTACTTCTCTCCTCCAATAAATCTCGTCTCTCCTATACTTCAGTCACTAATTTCCATGGCATTGCCAGGAGATCTTTGCATTACTAATAAATGCAATCCTCTATTATTCCAGCCGTAAGTACCCACTTTCTGATACCAAAGTAGCCTTCCAACTCTTATTCCAAGGGTCCCATCTCCAGCAATTTTTTGACTCCACTAAGATCTACAATCCACTGATTTTACAACATTCCCCCTATCCCTCACTACCTTTGTGCCCTCTCTTCCCTCTTTAAGCTACTTAGAGTGCAAGACCCATTATTATAATCATTTGCATAAACTCTCAACTGCCTTGATTCATCACTGTTGTTGTTAAGTGCCGTCAAGTCGGTTCTGACCCACAGCGACCCTGTACAGGGTATCCGAGGCTGTAAATCTTGACGGGAGCAGAAAGCCTCATCTTTCTCCCGCGGAACAGCTGCTAGTTTCGAACTGCTGACCTTAAGGTTCGCAGCCCGATTCGTAACCACTGTGCTACCAGAGCTCCTTTTGATACATCATACTTACCTGGAAAAAAAATCATCTGTTTGATTCTAATTCTTAGTCTTTTCTCCTTCTACACCTGTATTTGCACAACTGTAAATAGTTGAAGAGAAACCATGCTGACTGGTCTCACTGTAAATGAATGACCACAAACTTCAAGTGGTCTTGGAAATGGTCAGCACTCCTACTACATTTTCTCAGTCCATTCAGTGTTCTTCTCCTAGAGGACTGTTCCAATACCTTCTCTCCTCTCTCCTTCATCAAAGCCAGCCCCTCCTCCTCCATCTTTATAGGCAATGAATGACCTTATTTACTACTTGACAGACAAATGAAAAATAGTCATCGGAGAATTAATATAAGCTTGTACCACATCTACCCAGCTGCGTCCATTTGTGCCCATTTACTCCACTTGCTTTTCATCTACTGCAGATGAACTGAGGCCAACTCATCTCTAGGATATCTTCTCTTGCATTAAAAAATATATGTTTCCTGCATGATAGAAATTCCTCTCACTCTGGATCAATTTCATTAGACTTATGCATAGGCTGAATTATAAAATCGCTCCCATGATAGAAAACACCACCACTACCAAAATAAAAATCTCCTCTTGGACCCCACTTTTCTATTTTTCTTATACAGTGATACTCTTTAAAAATGTAATCTATATTTGCAGTCTACAACTCTTCTTTTCACATTTTCTCTGGAATCATCTTCAATCAGGCCTTTCGTTGTCTCATCTTACTTAGCCTATTATTAGCAGCATTTGACCTGAGCTATTGCGTCCCATTTTTTGAAACCTTGTCATTTACTTCATAGGGTACTTCTAGTGTGCTGTAGGATCAGCACTGGACTACGACCCACAAGGTTAGCAGTTCAAACCCACCAGCTGCTCCTTGGAAACCCTATACAGGGTCGCTGTGAGTTGGAACCAACTCTACGGCACTTAACAAAAACAACTGGTAATGCAACAATTATGCACTTAACTGCTAACAGAAAGATTGGCAATTAAAATCCACCCAGGAGCTCTACAGGAGAATACAACTGGTAATCTGCTTCTGTGAAGACGAGTCAAGAAAATCCTGTGGGGGTAGTTCTATTGTGCCACATGCTTTGAGTTAAAACTAATGACACAAAAACAATAATATACTTTCTTAGTTTTTCTCGTTCCTCACTGGCACCCGCAGTTTCCTTAGCATACAAGTCTGAACATAGAATATCTGGTATCCAGTCATTGATCACTGGATCTCCAGCTTGGACCTCTGCATTGAACAACAGGCTCGCTAGCTAAGTGCTGACTGAACATCTCTTCTTGTTTATCTCAAAATATGTGTCCAAAACCAAACTGCTAGTCTTCACCAATAAAATTTGCTCCTATCACAATCTTCCTCATCTCAAGAAATCACAAGTTTAACTGCTAAAATGAAAAACCTGGTATTATCTTAACTCCTCTATCAATCTGTCAGCTCTGCTTTAAAACATCTTCTCTAACTTCAAATCAGGTTTCTGACCACGGCTTACCATCTTTGCTGCTACTTCTTTAGTCCAAGAAACTCATCCCTGGACTATTGCAATACTTTCCTAACGGGCCCTCTGTGGCTGTCCTTACAGTCCTCTAGTATATTTTCAACCTAGCAACTCCTCTGCCCAAATCTTCCCTATAGCTTCCAATCAAAGTAACAGCAAAACTCTCCAAATGCTTACAACTTAACTACAATTCACTAGCTCTCCATTACCTCTTGACTAAATGTTAATTACTCCCTTTCTCACTCCTTATGAGTCATCACGGTCTCCTCATAATTCTTCAGACACACCAGGCATCTTCCTGTCTCTGCTTTCTGCATAGTTTTTGTCTCTTATCTACTTCAGGTCTTTGCTTAAATGTTACTTACTCAAAGACACTGTCCTGATCATTTTACTTAAAACTACTCCTTGCCCTTGGCCTGCCTTACTCTCAATTCTCCTTTGTATTTTCAATGATCTCCACAGTACATAGGACCACCTAACATATTACATATTTTACTTATTTCGTGTTTGGTCTTCTCTCGCCCCTTACTGATGTTATGTGCTGTTGAGTGGGTTCTGACTCAGAGACCCTCTATAGGGTTCCCAAGGCTTTAAATCTTTTCAGGAGCAGAAAACCTCATATTTCTCCTGAGGAGTGGCTGGTGGACTCAAACTGCTGACTTTATGATTTGCAGTCCAGTCAGTGCTTATCCTATGGAGCCACCATGCTCCCAGTTTTCCTCTACCAGAGTATAAACTTTATAATCAAAGGTAAGCCTGTCTCTTTTTATACTGGTGTATTCCCAATGCCTATAACAGTGGGTGTCCAACGACAGTATCCAAAGAATTAATGAAGTAATTTTTGCCTAAATTAACCTATCAAGTCTATTTAAAAACAAACCCACACTTACTCTGCTTTACTATTTATAGATAAGAGTCCTAGTGTGACACTGTATGGTAAGCACTGGACTGCTAACTGCAAAGCTGGCAATGCAAACCCACTAGCCACTCCTCAGAAACCCTAGACAGGGTTGTTATGAGTCGGAACTGACTCAATGAAGCTTAACAACAACAACCAGAAATAAAAGGACCTTGGTGGTGCAGTGGGTAAGTAATCAGTTGCTAACTGAAGGTTAGTGGTTTGAACTCACCAGCTGCTCCACAGAAGAAAGGTGTGGCAGTTTGCTTCCATAAAGATTACAGCCTTGGAAAGCCTATGGGGGCAGCCCTATAGGAATGATCTGAGTCAGAATCGACTCAGTGGTAACAGGTCGACTGACCAGACTGTAAGGTCTTTATTGCTCCAGAGGATTTTTTTGATTGCAACCTTTCAGAAACAGATTGTCAGGCCTGTCTTCTGGGTGGATTTGGACCACCCAAGTTACGGTTAGTAGTTGAGTATTTAACTCTTTGTACCACCCAGGGACTCAAAGTACATAACCCAAATATCAAGTCCAGACCGTTTTGTCAATTCTAACTCATATAATCTAGAAGACAGATGCAATTGATCCCAAAGTGTTTCTAAGACCGTAAATCTTTACAGAGCTGACTGTCACATCTTTCTCCCATAAAGAGGCAAGTAGGTTCCAACTACTTATCTTTCAGTTAGCTGTCGAATGCTTTAACCACTATGGCTCCAGGGTTCTCCCAACTACATTAAATACATATAAGTACATCTGGGTTGGTTATATGCCATGAAGTTGGTTACAACTCATAGTGATCCTGTATAAGGTTTCGGAGGCTTTAATCTTTATAGGAGTAGAAAGCCTCATCTAGTCCCGTGGAATGGCTGGTAGTTTCAAACTGCTGACCTTGAGGTTAGAAGCCCAACTTGTACCCACTATGCTACCAGAGCTCCTTTAAGTGCATGTAATCACCTTTTTGAACCTTGTACTTCTTAACATATTTTGGACAAATGGCGCTGTAGGACAAGTACTAGATGGCAAGGTCAGTTTGAACCACAAGGTCGGCAGCTCAAAGCCACTGGCCATTCCTTGGAAGCCCTGAGTTGGAATTGACTCGATGGTACTAAGACCACCACCAATTTGAGAAAGACACTGACCGTCTATTGTCAAGTGCTGTTGAGTTATTCTGACTCATAGTGAACCTGCAGAGAGTTTTTAAGGAGTGGCTGCTGGGTTTGTACCACCAACCTTGTGGTCAGCAGTTCAGTGCTTATCCTACAGTGCCAAACAACATATATATGAACATACATTTAAACTCTGGCCTTTAATTTCATAGGATTCAAGTCCCCCAAAGTCTTAGGACGTACCCTACGTGTCAAATTACGTAATATTGTAAGTTGAAATAGAATTGAGTAGGCGTCAGAACAGTAACATTTTTTATAAGCAGTAGCATTCTAACCTCATCCTCTTGGTATATATTTATGTTATATTCTTTTTGCTCTGTAGACAAAAACTGGATCATATACCTCATATCCACTCAGACGATAGTGGAGCCAAATATCTAAACACTACTTTATTTTCTAAATCCTTTATCTATAAGAAAGCTTATTTTGTTTAGGTATGTTAAATATTTTTAAACTTAAGCTATATCTTGTATTTTTAGCATATAAACATCTAATTTTACCTATACTAAGGAAAGTAAGAAGCTAGCCAATTAAAAAATATACTACCCATTTCATTTCTCTGATTGTTGTTGTTGTTATGTGCCGTGGAGTCGGTTCTCATTCCTCTGATAGCCAAAGTTTATTACACCGTAATATCCCTAAAAGCAAAACTTGTTGCCAAACAGAGAGAGAAAACACTGACACAAAGAGTCCTCAGTAAAAGAAATTAAACTGCAAAATAACAACTAATGCTGACCTGCAGCTGTATCTGCAAGTTGTGAGAGAGGCACTATCTGTGACATTCTCTGACACTTCAAAAATGAAAAGAAATGTTTCCACAGAGAATTGGCAACTGCAGCAAGGTGGCGCTCTTTAGCTGATAATGAAGATTGTACAATTAGGTCTCCGTTCTCCGTTTGAAGTTCCTGACACAGTTGTTGGTGCATACGTCTAAAAAGAAACAAAAATACACTTAGTACTCAACAAATTCTTAGGGAAATCTTCCTTAAATATATTTTGGGCTTTAAAAAAATGCATACCATATGAAAACCATTTTATATAATTAAAACCTTTATGCTAAGACATTATGCATCTCTGTTTTTTGATGGATGAATGATGGCATATTAAGCACCATAAAGTTAATGTTAATTACTAATGTCAACCATTAATTATATGCTTTTTAATATGTCACATCCAAATGAGAAACAGGCAGATTCAGAATGAAGGTCTGCATTTTGCAGCATTAGTATGACAAGTGATTTTACTTACAATCTAGACATGAAAATAATTTTTTAAAACCATTTTCTACTAAGGGTTTTAGGACATGGATTTATAACAGGAGGGAAATCAGCACATCTGGCTTATGTGTGGTGTTTCAAGTGAAAATATTTTCCTTGTTTAGAAAAAATACAGGCATAGTGCTAGTTTGTATAGAAAACAATGACCAAAATACGAACAAACAGTAAGAAGTTACTTCTCTCCATAAAATAATCCATGAATTCAATACTGCTTCGAGTTTTGAGTCATCATTTGCATTTATGTAATGCACTCAAAGCTAGTAATATGACTATTTAAAACTAAATGTATAATCATTCTTGTTTCTTTTTATGATGTTACCATCTCAATTGAGAATGGATGTAAACACAAGGACATCATCTTTACATTTACTTTCTTCAATTTTATAAAATCTGGAAAAATAACCAGTGCAACTAAAGCAAAAAATTTCCTTTAACAGTAATAGTATATCATTAAGGAAAAAAAAAATTAGGACTTAAAATAAGCAAGAAAAGTTACATTAGTTGCAATAAGCTTGTTTTAAAAATTATCTAGAGAAAATGGACACTAAAATGGCTGAACAGAATAGCTAACTAGTACATGTACCTAAAGCAATTCTACAGAAAAATCAAGTTTGTCTTAGCAGACTTCACAAACCAACACACAGGTGAGCAAAAATTATAAGCATAAATGATATATCATTAGGACCTTGTTGTTGTTGTTAAGTGCCGTCGAGTCGGTTCCGACCCATAGCGACCCTGTACAGGGTTTCCTAGGGTGTAAATCTTTACGGGAGTAGAAAGCCTCATCTTTCTCCCGCGGAGCGGCTGGTAGTTTCGAACCGCTGACCTTAAGGTTCGCAGCCCAATTCGTAACCACTACGCTACCAGAGCTCCTTAAAAAGGGACCTTAAGCCCCTTTAAATTGGAATGCTTGGATAATCATGGTGCTCTACTTAATACCACCTGAAGCACCTCCCCACAAAAATATGTAAAAATGTTAAGGGAAAGAAAATAACAGCAAGAAATTTCTCATAAAGCCAACCAAAAATCAGCTACGTCTTCTCTGTGTGAAAACATACCTGAGACATTTTCAACCTGAACTAACAAGTAGAGCACCATTTCAGGTGCTACACCTATGCATAAGGTTAATAGCAAACCCATAAAACCCATTTGGCAACTTATTCAACTGCCTATGCCAGCATGGACTTTTGGTTTGGCGCTGAGGATTAGCACTGGACTGCAAACCCCAAGGGCAGCAGTTCAACCCACCAGAAGCTCCTCAGAAACCCTATGCAGGGTCTCTATGAGTCGGAATCGACTTGATGGCACTTAACAACAACATCAACATAGCAAAATTCATGAGTATATTTCAACAACACACTGAAGTCCAAATAAAATAATACCAACCATTCTCTTTTATAGCTTTTCCAAAGTATAGTGGTTGCAATGGATAATAAAGAACTTACTTTATTTGGGGAGGATGGGTTTGACACCTTACTTTTCCTAAATAAGTGATTTTATTCATTACCCAAAACCTATTCCCAAGGAAGGTGTAACTTTTACATCTTCTGTGGGCTAGAACTTTGTTCATTTAAAACTAGAAAACCTTATGAAATTTCTTCTTTATAGATTGTTGTTAAGTGCCATTGAGTCAGTTCTGACTCATTGCAACTCCATATGGGGTTTTCAAGGAGGAGCTAGTGGGTTTGAATCACTGACTTTGCAATTAGCAGTCCAGAGCTTACCCTACAGCACCACACCAGGACTCCTTTATAGAAGAAGATGCAAAATCAGAACAACCATTTAAGATTATGAAGCTGATGACAGGGGCTTAAAGAATATACCCAAAGGTCACATGGTTAGAATGTCTGGACCCATCATCTGCACACAGACTCTTATCTTACCCACTAAGAGACACACATACAACAGTTCTAAAAGGATTAAATGTTGATAAGATTTCTTCTCTCCTGTCTTGGGCTAAAGAAATTCCAGCACACTTAAAAAAGCAAAAGAATTGGGAAACCAAATATAGCTTAGCCTTTAGGGGTGAAATCAGAATCCTTACATTAAGAAAAACTGCAAGAAAAGACACCAGGAAATATGCATTAAAGGCAATACTGAGAAAGTCCAGCAAATCTGAATCACCTCTGACCTCTCCAAAATATAATGTTAAGGCACCAAGGGATAAAAACTAGGAGTTACTGTAAGGACATAATTCACAGCTGAAAAAGCAAACCAATAGGAAACTTTTAAAGCTAGAGACTATTCTGAGGCCAAGTACACAAAGAAATAACAAGCTTCAGTTAAGTTTGTGACACTGACTTGAACACAGAATTGCTTTAGAAATATGCATCCACTTTAGTATTCTAGATTTAAAAAGAAGCTATATACTCTGTGGATATGCAGAATATTTTTTGCTCAATATTTTAAATATTCAAACTATATTACTCTAGATGAGAGTGATTATCTGCTTATTTTAACATAGAATAAAGCTGTTTAAGACCTTATAATAATTTCTTCAAATACGAAGAATTAGAGGGTGACAAATGAGAATCTGAATTTGTGCACTAGTCAAATTAATCAGAAAAACTTGTTTTCGAAGTTCTGGTGTGGCGCTGCGGGTTAAATATGCAGGACCATAAGGCCGGTTTGCACTGCAACGTTGATAGTTCAAACTACCCTATACAGGATCACTATGAGTGGGGACAGACTCAACAGCACTTAATAACACACACCCCGTTTTCATATATAATTTTTTACACCGTATTTTCTGGATCAAAAAAAAACTAATTAAAGAGAGACAATATAAATTTGGTTTACAACCTTGGAAACCCTGTGCAGGGTCGCTATGAGTCGGAACCGACTCCACGGCACATAACAACAACAACAATATAAATTTATCATATTACACGTGATCCCTGCATAAGGTACATTTAAAAAATGCAAATAGTAAAAACTTATATGTCTGTAGCAATAGTAATATAAAAGTGAAATTATTAAATATTATGTTGTGGGCTGTTGAGTTCTGACTGAGTTCTGACTAAGTATAGCATAGCGTAGAAATTGCCCCATAGGATTTTCACAGCTAAAATCCTTTTGGAAGCAGACTGGTAGGTTTGAACTGATGACCTTTCAGCTAGCAGCTGAACACTTAACCATATTGTAACGAGTATAACATAGTTCTAGATGTCATGGCTACTTTATGAGATATTATCTACTAACTTCAACAAAACGTAGAAAAATATGAGCATACATTTTTACATAAGAGTGAAACTAATTTCTGGTTAGAAACTAAAAGAAATATCGTAAGAGATAAAAGAATCACCCAATATTTGGTTTGAGTAAAGGCAAATTTAATTCAAGTTAAAGGCATTTTAGAAGTATGAAAGTGAAAATACACATGCATGATCAATCCAATTACATTTCAAAGATGAAATATATGGCTGCTACAAGAACAAGCAAGTCATTTTCTGGGGAGCCATCAAAGAAAGCAATCAAGTTCCTTCAGGACAAACCCCCTCCCAACACTGAAACTCAAAGGGAACACATGAGGAGGCATGTAAGCTTGCTGACGACCATGTTGGGCTATTGGTGAGTGGAAGAGGAGGAAAGGAAGCAATGAATAAATGGACTGAGTTCAACCATGTTCCATAGACTCCCGTTAACCTGGAGATGAGAGAGAGAAGAGGAAGGGTTGGTTGGCCTAAAGTGTGGTGAGACCTGGGGCTCCTGAGTCCATGCACAAAGACACAGCCACAGAGGGCTACGAGAGTGAAACATCCAACTGATATGAAGTGAGGGGAGACGCACAAGAACACACAAACTTGCAGAGAGTACCCATTCAACTTAGCCTTTACTAAGCATGATGTCATTTTCTAGGTTTTCTTCTGATAACATGTCCGAAAAATGAGAGATTAACTAAGTCTCACCATCCCAGCTTCTATAAAGTACTCTGGCTCTACTTCCAACACAGATTCATTTGTTCTTCTGGCAATCCTTGGTACCCTCAATAATCTTCTCCAACTGAAATGCATTAATTCTTCTACAGCCTTCCTTATTCACTGCCCAACTTTTACATGCATATGAGGATACTGAAAATATCATAGTTTCAGTCAGGTGCACCTTAGTCCTCAAGCTGATCTCTTTGCTCTTGAACACTTTAAAGTAGGGTCTTGTGCAGCAGATTTGCCTAATGCAATACATCGTTTGATTCTTTGGCTGCTGCTTTGATGAGTATTGATTATGGATCCAAGGAAAATGAAGTCTTTGAGAGCCTCAATCTTTTATTCATTTATCATGATGTTATTGACTGGGTCCAATTGTGAGGATTTCTGTTTTCTTTACATTAAGGTGCAACCCATAACTGAGGGCTGTAGTTTTTGATCTTTATCATTGAGTATTTAAGTCCTCATCCTGATGTGCCACTGTGAGTTAATGTGA